CTTCAAGAATTCAAGTCAATTAAAACCTGTCAATAGACTTTATCTATAAAAAGAGAAGTAGAAATCGTTGTTATTTCAAGAAGAATTACTCTGGGGATAGGGGAACCTGTTTCTATTTTACTCAGGAACTGTCATGAAAATTATGACCCAAAGATATTTCTAATGACTTGGAACTAGGTCTGCAGGAAGCAAGCAAAGCATGGCATTTCTGTCACCACAGACAGTGACAAGACAGCCATCATAATATGTATGGGGAGACACGGCTCTCCTGAGACACAGCTTTGATATGATAGACTCCTCAAAATTGCATCAAGCATCCACCAGTACATTTCTGCTGATGAAGCTGTGATTACTAAACTAAAATCCATTATAAGCAATCTTTAACACAGGTATTGGTTCTTGTATCTTTGCTAAGCTTAGTGAAGATCTTTAATGTTGAAGGTAATGCATTACTTTGTAATTTCCACTTTGTTTATCATGCTCAGGAAATGGCCTCCGAGAAATTATTCTGTAAGTTGTTAAGGTCTCCCAAGGCTGGTGGCTTGGGACATCTGCCAGCAATGCTTGAAAGTTTCTCATCATTGGACATGACACTCCATCTTCAACAGCAGGAGGCAGTGCTCCTGAATTACAAATACTTGGCAGCCTCTCAAGACTGGCCCTACCATTTCCACAGAGAGCTAGATGAGGTCATGTACAATAGACAGACTCTGTGTTTAAAGATTATTTTTAAGAGTTAGCCTTTCTAGGAGTTATAGCATTGAATAACAATGTTCTATTATTCTTAGTTCCCGAGGCTGTGAAAAAGTGTGAGTGTCCAGAGTGTGAAATGTCAAGTTCAAATTGTCCTATTCACTGACTTCCAACACTACCCCTCAGGGAGGTTCACAGGCACCTGCCACAGAAAGTACCTCATCTGTCACTTTCTCTTAGCAGGCTGCAATGACCAGGAATAAAGAAAAACAAGCGGTACCTTCCCTGAAAACACACCTACTGGCATCTCAGCTGTTTCTTGGATAATGTAGGAGCTGTACATAAACATTAACTTCTTTTGAATCAAACATTTAACCAACCCAATAGGAAGAATATGGGGGAAGATGAAAAATGAATTAGAATTAGGAATCCAATGGACATTCCTGTTTGAATTTTAAAGTTATTTTTCTCTAGGTGACAGATCAATGAGTTTTAGATCTGTGTTTTATGTTTAACCATACTATCTTTTTACCATGATATTTATCTTTTTACCAGGTTACCAGGATGATCAGAACTCTAATCTAAAACACACTAAAGACTATTACCTGTATGTATATATTTACTCCTCTTTCTATCAATCTAAAATCTTCCCTGATTGAGAAGCTAAGTGGCATGGTGAGTATAGTTGAATCTAAAGATAAATGTGTTCCATCAACATATTGTTTATGGATAAGATACATATTCATCTCCAGTAGTTATAATTGTTTTGATAGCTTAATAATATTCAGTTAACTTTACATAAGAGAGCACTGCTATTTGCTAAACTATTAAAATGTTCCAACTGCAGTTAATTAATAGCTTCTGGCTCTTGTCTCCAGGACAATTCCAACATCACCTAAACCCTGTTAAGTATTTTCTATTAAGAGTATGTATATACAAATTACATAACAGAGTGTATCTGACATCATTCTTACATAGTTTTAAATATATAACATATTCTAATCAATAATAGCTACATTGGGTCACTGATCATTTACTATAAACCAGGAATAATCTAAAGAATTCTACTTAATATTTATCTTTTGCATAGTAATGGTTTGAAGTACTATGATTACCATATGCATTTTTCTTTGGCAGATAAAGAGAGGCACCCATCTGGGTTTAAAGGAACTTGCTCAAAGTAACACTGACTGTCAGTTAGTCATTTTTCAATGGTCTTTTTTGGAGACCATTTTCAACATTCCTCTAGCCAGCCTCTCCAGGTATACATCACTGACTTTTCTACATCAAGAGTATTATATTCTTTCTAAGATAAGCACATAAACTTGCTACTATATTTTCTTAGATTTGACTTCTTGTATCCCTGCATTACTTTTATATTTATGGACATGGGTCATCTTCTAGCTCCTCTCAAGATATGAGTCTATTATTTAATTACCTCTACAAAGCAGTTAAGAAGGCTTGGATGAACATAATTAAAATGCAACAAATTTCCAAGACACCATGTCTTGCCGTGTTGCCATAGAAACAGTGGGAATTTCTGGTCACTGACCTTTGAGGGAATTCAAGGATACATTTTCATAAGGCTCACAAGAGAAGCCAACCCAGGATATTAATCTATAGCTGCAAGAGCAGCGTTTTGAAATGTCCTATGTAATCCTGAATAATTTTAAAGGTGAACTGTATTATTCATTCATACTATAGAGTTAAACTAGAACTTTTTGAAGAAATAGTTTTAACTGATTCTAATATATGATCTAAAATAATCACAGCTACCATAGGAACAACAAAGAAAAGGAAATCTTAGATGAGTGCACTGGGGTTATTGGAAGAAAAGCCAACTATAAAAAGTTCTGATGCTTTATCTGTTTGTTATATTATGAATCCTTCAAATTTAGGCTTACACAAAGCACATAAAATATGGCCTCACTGTACCAAAAATATAACTAGAGATTAGGAGCTTATCACAGATTATTAAGGTGTCAATATCATTTACCAATGGAGATTTTTAGTTCACTCCCTTACTATGTAATATATTTTTACATTAAGGTATTTTACTGATAAATAAACATAATTAAAATTCATGCTTATGAATGAATTTGCATATTTCTTTGGCCATTTGGCAGAAACCAAGTACCAATGGGAATGTGACAAAGCTTGCTTTATTTTAGACTGGTGTTACTATTACATCTATATTTTCATTCTATTGAAAATAAAAAAAAATTAGAATCATTTAATTATGACAAAATATCTATCAAGGGCTGAGTAGTATTCTTAGGATCAGAAATCTATCTCCAGAATTGGAACTCTCATAGCACAAAGACACCTGAAGTAAAGTAGAAATAAACATCCTAATAAACATCCTAGAGTTCACACCACTGCTTAGGCTTCTAGCAATTTCTCTTATAAAGTTGCACATTTTTACTCTGAGAGACATTGTAAAGGCTGGGACGCCAGGCCCTTCCACTTACTGAGGAGACGACCTTGAGCAAGCTTCTTCTCCTGTAGGTGCTTATGTTTACTCACATAATAAATGAGACAGAAAATTGGATCTCTTAGTGTTGTTTTGAGAATTAAGTGACCTAAAATTATATATTAGAACCAGAGTTTTCCCATTTAGAATGGGAAAAGAATGTTTTCTTAAGATATATTCAAATCCAAGGAAAGGGCTAGCATGGTCATGCGAGTCCAGCTCTGTTGTGCTGCCCAAGACAGAAAGAACAAAGTGGGTGAGCTCACGCTACACTGGAATACAGTTTCCCCAACTCAAGGCCAGGGCTGGTGTGTTAAGTTCATAGTTAGAAGATATATTTTATTCCTTGGGATGGGTTTTTCTCTTCACCAAGTGTTGAGTACCACAAAACTATGTCTAACTTCAGATGCCAGTAGCTAGTGTTGGGTCTTTAAGTTACTCCCAACTTCTTGTAATTGGAGGTTGTCTAGATTCTCTGCTTAGTTCTAAGTAAACTAGTAGTTCACAATTTGTCCAGTATATCATCAGCTTATAGCAAAAGAAACAACCCTGGAGCAACATGATAGAAGAAATGCAAAGGGCTAGGTGTAGGGTTGGTGTTCTAAAACTTCAGGCCATCTCTGGGTGCTCACTTGCCCAGGAATTTTCTGAGTCATGCCTTTTAGGGACTTTACAAAGAAATGCTTCAGACGGGTCTTGATATCTAGATCTTTTCCTTTCCTGCAGTACTGGAATGGGGACTGAAAGTTTCAAGTTTCTAACATTGTTTGACCTTTCTTATGAACAAGGCCAGGACTCAGAATACATATCTTGAAATATGACATGCATGCTGTGTAATTTAAGCTTAAGGAAACAGAAAGGTTTAGAATCACAAAGGTCTCTCTGTCTCTGTCTCTGTCTCTCTTCCTCCCTTTCTCTCTTTCTCCCCTCTCTCCTCTTTTTCTCTATGACCTTTTCCTGTTTGAAGACATCCAAATAACAGGCACCTGCTTCCAAAGGAAGACATGCCAACAGAAGCAAGAAGAATACAAAGAGGATTCCACCCCCCAGTATATTGTCACTGTATTATATCACATTTTTATTTAACCATGGTTCCATACAACTATATTGTTTACACCAAACTCAACCATGAAAAAACAGTTGCCAATTTTTTGGCTCTTGATTTCTGAGTACTCATGTCGTGTCAAACTTTCCTTAGATATGTTTGCCCTTCATTTTGCCCATCTTTGTTAGAGGTATATCATCGGCCATCTTTGTCATGAATGGGGAAAATATGTTACTTTCTCTCTTATATACCAGTCAGTTTCAGATGCCAACGTGTACTTCATCAAAACCAGAGTCAGAAAGTTCACATTAAGAGCTGTGTCTAAACCAGCGACATAAATAATCTATTAGAAGAAAAACACACGTAGCAATCTTAGCCAATATATGGTTCACATAACCACAAGTTTTTAAGTAACTCAAAGCAGAAAGTATCTGTATATATGTTTCTTGAGACAGTGTCTCAAATGCATGATCCTCCTGGCTCTGAAGAGATTATAAGTGTACGAGGTGTACGTCACTATTTTCTAGCAAGGGCATGTGTGTGTGTGTGTGTGTGTGTGTGTGTGTGTGTGTGTGTGCTGCTCTGAGTGCTGGCTGCATTGATCAGACCTGGCTCTGGGCAGCTACACTGAGGAACTCCTCCAACAGGTCAATGTTCCATCTCTCACTCCTCTCAATTTTTAAAGACCGTGTTTAAGACTTTAAGTTCAGGTTCTTTCTGTCAGTTGTCATTTCCAGTTTCATGACCCAGCTAAGCATGATTTTATTACTAAAGTGACATGGAAAAAAGTAATTTTGCAATGAGATGATATTTATTTTAGTTTTCACCAGCTTTGTACAAACACAAGTTAATAAAACACATCACAAAACTGTAAAATTCATAATTAATATTTATAGGTGCATAGTTTCATGCTCACATATTTTAAAATATATTATTAACAAATTTCACAATACATCATTCTTAGACAGAAAGAATCATTAAGGACACCTAAAACTCTTATAAGATAGCAAGTCACAACTTCTCAAGAACAGCAACAAAAATAGTGAAGGTTTAGAAATAAGTGGTAGTCACTTAGGTGTTTTAATTTTCTTCTAACATTTTAGGTTTGAAGCCACGAGATCCACAGCACACAGGACCCTGCTACCATGTATTCACTGTAGTGAGAGGGAAGCACCGGGATGCTGAGGGGCAGGTACAGGACGTCAATCACTGCTGATGGAAGACTTTGAAACACACTGCACAGCTTTGAGAAAACATCATGAATGGGCACATTGGAACTGAGCACTTGTACGCCATGGAACAGTGGCCGGCAGATCTCAGGACATTGGGACTCAAGGCCCTCTTAGGCTTCGGGCTCATAGTCTTGGTATCCTTCCTATCATCAGAGAGAAAGAGAGAATGACCTGTCTGTGAAAGTGACAGCTATCAAGAGTCTACTTCACACAAGAGAAGAGCCCACATCCCACTCAGATAAAACCCTCAGAACAGTGTTTGGAACATTTCTGTCACACACATTTATTTGTTTTCTTTTTCATACGTGTCATCTATAAGTTAGGGGAGTTGTCAGGGTTAGCGTACTAGGCCTAATTCCAGGTGTGTTATTTGATTTGTGGTCTGTCCGACAGTGTAAATTACCCGGGCTTCTGGATTTGTTTCCTTCATTGAGAACTACAAGCTGTGAGCACCAAGATCATCTGCATGGAACTTCTTCCTGAGCTCAGAGACTCTTGTTCTCAGAAGTGACAATGCTTAGAGATAAGGTGCATTTCTCTCTCCCACTAGGAAACTCCACTTCATGGAAAGCTTTAATGATTCCTTTACCTTATTCTAAAACCCAAGCCTTCTGGCCAAATGTGGACAAACACTTACAGCAACAGTAGGCTTAACTAGCTAGATTAGGTATCCTTCCTCAAGAATAATTCCAATTATATCAAAATTCTGCTGTTAAACTAAACTTATCTTCAAACGCCTGCTTTTGTTTTGTTTTGTCTTGTCTTCTTTTAAACAAATATAAACTTAACTGACAAAGTTATTTTGGTGCTCTATAGTTTTTTTCATAACCCTAATTATGTCTTCCATTTTAATCTGTCATTTTTCTGTTTTCTAAGCCTGATTAATAAATGTACACTCATTGTTCCTCAGATACTTCCATGTGCCTTTGTTTCTGGTAGTCTCTTTGCTAGAATATTCTCTTCTCATTTTAATCTATAATATCTCCAATGCTCTCCCAAACAGATCAAAATCAGTTCCTCTGAAATCTTTTCTTGATTGAACTACTCAGACCCTAATATGGGGGAGATCTGATAGCCACAGGGTTTTGATGATACTTATCGGTATGACCTAAATTAAATACCTCAACTATTTTTCTTAGTTTTCTGTATATATATCATTTACCTCTGAAGGCATTTCATAAGCCTCACTGCTAGGATCCACAGGCATGTCTTCCAGAATTCCTTCTTGTGGGTATCCTTCTTCACCCTACAGTCAAAGAGAGAAGTGAAAAGCACAATGAAATATCATTTATAGCTACTGAAACATAGTTTGAAAGACATTATATCTAACACATCTATGGGATGTTCAGTGGAATATTGTCAGAGTTCCACACTTTAATACTACTGATGAAATTCTAATGGTACCACACCTATGGAAAAAATGCAAACATGGGTTACCAATCTGAAGAGTACTAGGCTTTTACCCAGGTGACTAGGAAGTTGTCAAAGCTAAAGTCCACAAATTCTCTCCATAAGAACAATGTGATAGATAGTAACACAATGGCTAATAATCAATGGATGATAATGAACAAAATAATGGTGATGTATTCAAAATTATTATAAAAAACATATGTTAATTTTCTAATAATGAGAACTTGGCTATGGTATAAAGCTTATCAGGACAGCATTTTTGGAGAGAACCCATGTAGCATTTTAATGCAAAAGTTGAAAAGGTCCAAAACAGTAAAATAAATATATAGAGACAAATTATTATTTATTTTACCCTAAATTTTATAGGGTTAAGTATATATGGTTTATAATTTACTTAAGAATTATTTTTATTTTACTTTATGTGTATGGGTATTTACCCTGCATGCATTTATGTTCACTGTGTACAGTCCTGGTACTCATAGAGGCAAGAAGAAAGCATCATATTCCTTGGAACTAGAGCTATACAGACAGCTTTGATCCTTCATATGGGTGCTAGGACTGGGGCCCCTGGAAAAAGAACCTGTGTTTTTAACTACTGAGCCATATCTCCAGCCCCAACAAATCATTTTTAAATGCTGGCAAGGAAATAAGTTCTCTTCTAAAACACAAAGTCTGAAATTATTCATAATTGTAGTTATAAAGCAAAAGACATGATTAAAGCAATTTTTCAGATTATCTCTCTATAAATGCAGACACCCTAACATTCAGTCCATCGCGATGCAGTTTATTTGTATTCTCCATCAAAAATCTTTTGCTCCTTCCCATTTGTTCCAGCAAAGCAATTATTAAATTAAAGAGTTCAGTAAAATTCAATGAGTAGAAATGCAACCAGAGTCTAAACGGGCTCACTTGAAGATGTCAAAGAATGTTCAGTTTGCGTGGATTATTTTCTAGTGTAAATGTTAACTCCCACTGCTTTTATCATAGACATGACAAGGCCAATATGGTAGGGAAGAGACAATGGCTGACAGTGAAGTAACATCAGACTCTGAAGACCATGTTTTTGGCAGTTGGAAAGAATAGCTTATATATCATCTTTTCCTGCTTTACAGACATCACCAATCTCCACTTATAAACCCAGAGTGTCCAATTTGTTTATAAGTTAAATAAAATACAAACCATTCCCAAAACACTTCACTTCAAAATGTGTGTATATCACAATACAAAATACTGTGATATAAAAATCCAAGTTTTTGTTGTTCAGTTATCAATCTTTTGTGACCTTGGACATGTTTCCCATACTACTCCTCAGCATCAACTAGTTTTAGTAATAGAAGAAGCAGAGAGATCTTTTTCTTGTATACAACTTGAAGAAGCAACTAATATCATCGACCCCTCCGATTGATATGCAAATGCTTTTTAGAGACAGTCAATATAAAGAAAATATGATGAACCACCAGCTCTGTGCATTTTTAATGTAATCTGTGAGATTTATGTTATAAACTGGATGAGACAAATGCAGGCCAATCTTGGGGACTGCTGACTCCCATAAAAGAAGTGACCCTGCATGAGTAAGAGAAGAGGGAGGGCATCATTGGATGTGACTGTCCCCATCTATGAAAGGGTAACCGTTTTCACTTTGAAGTTCAGTCAGGAAACAACTGGATGTTGTCATGTACTACAATAAATTAAAACCCATCCTTGCTAATTTTAAATATAATATCAACCAAATTGTAAATGAAAATGATGAGTTATAATTTTAAAATATAGTTTATATGTTTCTGAGTATAATTTTTCTTGTACTAAAATTGATTGAGTAAAATTCAAAGGTAATACCATATTTCACAAATTCATGAGTAATTATCATCGCAGATTTTTTAAAATTTTTTTAAGACATTCAAAAATGTTTGTAGGCAAAGGTTTCAGAAATCATTAAGGAACCATAATTTCTATAATAAAAGTAAAGTCACAGACATGTTTCCATAGTTTATCTGTGAATATTCTTCAAGGGAGTATTACATCTTTTGTGGTATAAATAAATACCCTCCCCAAAGAACAAAACAAAGTATTTGTTTAAATTAAAAGCAAGAATGTCTTTATAAAACACTCTGATGAATCACCTGAATGTGTTAAACAACAGCCAAAGGGCAAAGATAGAGCAAGGTATTGGTACAGATGAAGTGGCCATGCAAAAGACATTCAAATATCTGCCACTTTTACTGCAGCCATTATCAAAATCTTGTGACAAGGATATTTTATATTGTGCCTCCTCTTTTTCAGAGAGATCTATGCTGCAGTACCACCTGGATCCTCATGCATAGCTTGTATCCTATCTGGACCTGTAATGAATAACACACTTACTTCCTGGCCCTTAATGTATGTCTTGCATCCTATCTGACCCTTAATACTCATCCTGCATTTTATGATGCCTTAAATGCACAGCTTTCCTCCCACCTGGACTCCATGCCTAGGTTGTATCCTATCTGGCCGTTACTACATAGCTTGAATCCTCCTAGCCCTTAATGAATGTTTCCAACAAGCCTGGCCTCCAATATGTGGCTTGCAACCTACCTGATCCCCATGCAAATCTTGCATATTCCTAGTTTCTAGTATATTTCTTTTGTCCTTCCTGGTATTCCTATACATAACTTCCATCCTACCTGGCCCTCATGCCCCAATGCATAGCCTGTACCCTAACTGTCTCCCCCATGTATAGCTTGCATCCTACCTGGCTCCCATGTATACCTTACATCTTACTTGCTCTTAGCTCGCACACTTCACTAAAGTGTGTCACAGAAGATTCTGAATAGGACAATTCTTGGTAGCAAAGTAACAACATAGAAAACATGGATTATGCACAGAAGGAAGAAGTTATGACCAGAACTGACAAGGATTTCCAACTAATCTTGAAAATTACTGTCCACTGTAAGCAATCATTTGTAACCTACACAGTGACATTTAGTATAAGAACAGAACAATATACTTGCTACCAGCCTGTCAATGTGAATATTATAAAATAAAAGATGTTCTGACTTCAAAATCAGAGGGTAATGAACAGTTGCAGTTTCTGAAGAATGCATATAGAGTGTATATACATACAAACATACATACATACATACAATACATAGTGATATTTTCAATGGTAAGGGTTAATCAATTATCTGTCATCTAAATCTATAACACTAAAAGTGGCAGATCGAGATATTGCCCCACTGCTTTTATACTAAGATAGGTTTTGGATATAACCACTATTTTATATAATGCCAGGCAATGTTAATCAGCCCACAAATAAAGGAAGCAGCATATCATAAAGATGAGTAAGCATCAGTCATCGGACAAAGGAAAAAATTTAAAGAAAGAAATTTGAAATTATAAGGTAAAGGTTAATAAGCACATGTATTAGTTTGTTAAATGTTTCTAATATGAAATACAACCAGAACTCTGTTTCAGATGAAAATAGCATATATACATATATACATATACATACATATACATATATATATATATATATATATATATATATGACTAAACAAAATTTCTTTCAGAAGCCATGGGCTATTAAACCAAACATCAAATGTCAAGGGCAGGATGTTTTCTTATGAGTTGTTGAACATAGAGACACCATAAAAAATTCCAACAACACCAGCTCTTTCCACTCTTCTTTGCTGTCTGCCACAAGTAGGTAATACTCTATTCCTAAATACACTAAACACCTTGGACGCAGTACTGGGGGAAGTCAAACTGGATCTGAGCTGAAGACTCCTCCCTGCTGGCTAGATTTCATGGTCTTAGAAGGTGCTATGCAAGATACTGGAAGTAAAATGACATCTTTTTTTTATTCTATGATATATGAGTCCAGTCTTCCAAGCACAATAGTGGCACTGCTGTTTGGGAGGTAACCACTTGCTCTCTGGTTGAATTAGTCTTACTCCAAATGAAAAAATGCATGTCTAGTGTTATAAACATGAAAAAAAAATAAAATCTTGGTAGGAGATATCATAGCTCCTTGGGGAATACTGAATAGTGTTGTTTAGCAAATTGACCTTGTATCAAGTTGCCTCTAAATATTTATATTTATGCTCTTAAACAAATGCTACTTTTGGCCTTAATCACAGAAGCCTCTTTTTCCAGTGTACAGTGGTGAATATAGAGACCTATGGCTACAAATGGCACTGTGATTGACCTTCAATAATATATTTATATCATCTGTTTTAAAGATCAGTGGTCATTGAAGAAATGGTGACAGAAAGAGCCAGAAGAAAAAGCAAAGGGCAGTGATAAGCTATTTCCTTGGCAAGACAAAGAAATTTCAGTCATGAACTCATAGAAGCTGCTGGTGCCTGCTCTGAATATGCATAGAAATGAGACTGTCAACAGTTAGGCTTAGCTACAAGAAGGGCTCAGATGACCTGACCTCTCACTGCTGAACTATGTACTAATTAGTTTTGGGAAAGGGTAAATTGCTGCCTTTAGTTTTATACCCACAAATGATTCCACTATATACTAACGGACAATTCCAGCTAAACAGGCCTGATTAAACCAACTCGGTCTTAAAACAAAATCTAAATGCTTCGATGAGAGAGGGGCTCGTGGTCATGGCAGGAGTAAGTCTTAAATGGGAGGAGACAGAAATAAGTAGAAAAAAAAAACAGAGAAAGAGTAATTAGGAGGGGTGTGTGTGTATGTGTGAGTGTGTGTGTGTGTGTGTATAAAATAGTCAAATTTAATTGAAAAAGGTGTATATAACTATATACTCCACTTCTTATATAGGGAAGCCCACATACATATAAATTAAAAAGCAAATTTTGCTAAGACAAATAGCCATGTTTTTTTTTA